GCCGCTGACGTTAGTTTTTCTGACCCACAAGTCTATTTAACATCCATTTCTACAGTTTTCTGAAGCTGCTGCAAAGTCTTCAGTCTGCTACAGAAGCTGCAGCCACGTTACAGCAATCCCGTTCACTTTGCCAGGGTACGGATTCATTGTCTAATCCTACAAAAGTGAGCTCTCCGCAAGAAGTCACTTTTCTCGTACCTGCCGCTCAGGCCACTTCCATTTTTAATTTACCAAGATCACTCAACAAGAACAATTTTTGGAGCCTGTTCCACAGCAACACAATTTTAAGCAGTGTTTTCAAACTATCCATCTCCCAGTGACTAATATATTTTGGTAAACAGTTCGATTACAAAAGTGGATTTCAACAGACCTGCATTACCTGAGGCAATTTCTTTGAAGCAATCCTTGATATCAATCAATCAAGAAGTTGGTTACTTGAATGACAAATTTCATCTGGTATTTTTACTTTCCTGGTAGCACACAGTCTCCTCAATTCAAATATTCAGCCTTGATTGCAAACTAAAAGTTCGTTTTCATTGTATCAGTAATGTAAGTTACATCATATTTTAGTGATGTCTTTTATATTCAATAAAGGTCAACGAAGAAAAGCTACATAAACTGCAATGCCACAAAACCAGCGCTAGTCTGAAGAAAAAAAGCTCCTTCGCACTAGTAGTGATGCAAGTACTCAGTTTCCGTTCATACACCTCAGCTGAAAGGGGACCAGTTACCAGCACATAAAAATATTTTAAAAACAAATAATTTGATTTCAAATATTTAAAATGCTTTGAAGCAAATTCTTTATTATACAAAAAGTGCTTTAACACATCAAACATTTAACCAAAGTATTTAGAAAAAATACATTTCACTATTTCCATTTCATCAACAATTAAAAAAATTAAAAATAGACTATTTAAAATATTTATACTTATCAGAAAAATAAAATCTCTTGTTGCCTTATTCATCCTTGAATGCGTACATGACATCGTCCTGGCTGATATTTAGTCGCACCCGCATGTGAAGATACTTATTACTGGACTCCACCAGCAAGAGCCTGCAGGCGCCAAGTCTTGAACAAATCGCCATAATTTCCGATACCGTAGGACTCTGCATGCCTTCAATTCTACACAGCGCTATGTGTTGATGATAGACCTATTAAAACAGAGAAAAAGGACACGGGCCACATTTACCTCCTGCTGCAATCTAGTTGGCCAAGGTGAAAGAGAGAAGCTTCCTTCCCTCCACGTCTATGGGAGGAGAGGAAAAACTAGCTCCAGTCCGCTCAGATGAAATGCACACATGCTGCTGTTTTAGCACAAACTGTTAGGACTTTGTCAAGGAAGTAACAATTCCAAGCTATAGTTTCATTTTTTTATATAGCCAAAAAGCAAAACAATTAGCAACCTACCTTTTCTGCAATTTTTTTAACTAGATCATTTTATCTGTTGCTGCACCTCTTCTTCCACCGGACTAAAGTTTATCCAGAAGATTAAGGGCTGACATACAACTAATTACACATATCAATCCGCTCAGAAGTGATATTCAGGCCCAGTGACAAGTAAGCATGAGTCACACTGACTACAAACATGAAAGATCACAGCTTAGAAAGGCATGATACACCTTTAAGCACAGGAGAATTTGTCACAAATCACACAGACTAGTAAATCCGTAACAAGAATCAGTTGGGGTCTTCTGCTTTTCTATTTAGAAAAAGCAGAAGAAAACCTTTTTGGTGTTAGAGGAAAAATAAGGGAAACATGTAACAAATCAGTCTAACAAAATATTCTTTGAAGTTCAAGAACCAATTGCCCAGTGTATCTATGCAATCAACTGATGCAGATGTTCAGGAGCCAGTAACAGAAAATGTAATTAAAATGCTTACTTACAAACCTGTAGAACCAAATAAAACTGGCAGGTTATTTTATATACAAATATATAGTTCTAAACATTTTTATAAGTATTAACATTTAGCTTCCACATTGTGAATCATGACACGGACTCTGTGCAGAGTCTTCACAGCTCTGCTGGTGCCAAGTGTTTTAGGGGTCTACTAGAAAAAGTGAAGCTACTAGGGCTATACCTGCCTCTATTGAGAAAGACAGCGATACACAAGTTGGAATCAACTTTCAGTTTTCCTCCTTGAACTATGTTGCCTAATATTTTCAGTTCTCTTATTTTTCCTGTTATAAAGCATGTCAGGTAGAGGCATGCAATACTTTCAGGTGCAGGCCAAAAAAAAAAAAAAAAAAAATCACTTTGTGATCCAGATCACTGGTAACATTAATAAAACAGCAGGTGTTTCCAATTATAAGTATTTAGTCCCATTGAAAAAGAGGTGGTAGCATTCAAGTAGGCTTTACACCTGGCCTGGACAGCCATGCCCCAATTTACCTTGCTATCATATTGTCTTCCATCAAATTTTAAGATTAAACCCCCCAAATATTTAAATATTTACACTTTTGCCTGATAATTTTGACAGTGCCCCCCTTTTGTAAAAGAAAAAAGTACTTTAAAACACAAAACATACCTGTTGAACTGTTGCCTCCTCAACTCCTGCCCTGCGAAACTCTGCTAAAATTGCTTTCAAAAAGATCTGCTCGTGCAATGAGGCATTCCTGCATATCAAAACAAAAATCAGTCTGCCACGTTTAGAACTTATGAAAACTTCCTAACTTAGGAAGAAGCCTGGAAGGGAAACTGCTTGGTAAGCACATATTTAAATGCAGGGTATTTTTCTAGCCAGGAGGGGTAGTTCATGTCAACTAGCCATTATATACAGCCTGCCACCCTAGCACCACAATACACTGCATTTCACTTCCCCTCACCTTTCTTTCGATGTATCTGAACACAACGTTTCATTCCGTACATCACGCATGTTCTGCAGTGTGTTATGGTCAACTTACATTTATGAATTAACAAATTAACATTCAGGTTTTCAGGCCCAAGTAGCACAGTAAAAGCAGTACTTGTACATCCAGCAAAATATCCTATTTGCACCCTTTAGTCCCCCCTTCCCTGCTGAAACCCATTCTCTTCCTTTTGATCAGAAACTGGTAAAGCACTTGACCAAGTTACAGCTTGTGCAGAGCACTGAAAGGCAACAGAATTCCTCATATATATTCCCACAGGAAACCTTTTGGAAGTCCTAACAGAATCTATTTATGTTAAAGAAAGAAACCAGTTCAAATGGGAAAGTCTTGCATTCTGCTCAGACATCTGTGGCTCCATCTAAGCGCGCAAAGACAGTGGCATAATACAAGCAGATATATAGAGGGGAAGAGTTGACGCTTGAGGACCTGGTGCCTATTCTATGCACATCTGAGTGTTTTTTCCTTCAGTCTAGCTCAAAGTCTGGTCCAGTATGCTGAATAAACAGTAGTGTTTGTAGTTGTTGGCTCCTGAGTATATCTTCCAGATTTAGTTCCAACTGGAAGGAATTCAAATATATGTACTTGGAAACTGCTGTTCAGTGAAATCAATGTACAGTAAGCAGGGACAATTAGGAAATTTCAAAAGCCCCCTCCTGATCTGAGCTAACACACTAACATGGAAACATCCTGTATAAACTTGTACAAGTGATTTCTATGCCTTTGTTTCCCGTCTTTAATTCCTATTTTGCACCTCTCTCTCCTAGCTGTGCTGCAACGTTTGTTTTGTATCATACTTCAACAAAGCATGGTGCATCACATACGCTCTCAAAGAGTAGTGAGGAATAGCCCGGTGAAAAAGACATAATAAAAGAAATTCCTCTGAGAAATGTTTTTACCTGATTGCATTTATATATGGTGATGAAAACATTTCATCTATGGCTTCTGTTATGTGGGCCATCCTGACTATTTCAGGGGTTCTCTTTTGGCTAGCAAACTCACAGATCTCAGTGGCCCTTCTGCAGATATCAAGGCAACGCCTTGCATCTCCGGACAGTGCTGCAACCTGAAAGTAAACATGACAGGTTTGTAGCAATATTTCCTACAAGTTGAGAAAAAGTTTAGCAAGAACCAATAGACAACAAAAAAACCCCCCAAACAAAAAACCCCAAACCACAACCCCAAACCACAAACAGGAGATCAATGCTCCTGTGAACTATGTTACTAGAATCCCAGATTTTAAATAAGAATCCTATTGACCAAAACCAACAGAAACAACCCTCCCACAACCCCACCCTGATCTGGTCATCACAAATTCAAGACTGAACTTTTTTCTATAACCACAGAAGTCAGAGGTTTAAAAAAAAAAAAATCCAGGAAATTTAATGTGAGCAGTTCAGTTCAACACCAGAGGTTTTCAGAAATGTTATCAATAAAGACCCTACCATAATCCATGTTCACGCAAAGAAAAAAAAAACAAAAGGGGGCAAAAAACTCCTCAGTTTTTCCATACTCAATAGAATACTGATTTTGAGTACACTAATATTATTTAGTAGGTCTTAAAGTAACATCTGGGATAGTGAATTCACATTTACACATGCCTGAAAATTTTTAGGCGTCTGAAATTTCTGAAACTAAATACTCTTAAAACACCACTTGTGGTTTAAAATTTTAATAAAGCTATGAACATTCGCTAGATAGAGCACTGGCCTAGTTTTCCCAGTAGATGCTGATAATGTATGAAAGCCTTAGAACCCAGCTGGAGCCAAGAATGAGAAACCCTTTAGAAAATCTAATTGGGAGTTATTTTTCTAGATTTTCTGAAGAAAATCATACTGGAAAAAACACTGCAGATTATTCAGTCTGCAAAATCATCACTATTATTCTTAAAAAAAGGTGGACCCTTCATAACAAGACAAATGCTTATATTTACTTCTGACCATTTATGAGTACTTTTTTTCTTTATCCTACCATGATGCTTAGCAGAAGTTTAAGCATATACTGGTTTACAGATGTTCTAACATAATTTTAACGGATTATTTTAATGTACAATTGCTAACATAAGACATTAAATAATGCATACATCTTATTTTGAGAAGCTACTGATCCCTAATGCAGTATTTATTTTTTATACAACTGAGTATTAAGACTGGCAACAGAACAGGTGCTATCTATTACGCCAAGGCTTTAAACATCTTGAGAAAGAAAATGAATATGGATATTTCCACTGCCACTGGCATACTAGGTTGTTTTTTTTTCAAGATCATCCAATGACTCACGTTATGCCAAACACTGGAGAAAGCTGACATCTTATCATTATGCATTATCACGACTCTTGTTGTCATGCCTCCAGCTCTTGGAATATACTGCTGCCTTCTCAAAGTAGGTGGAAAAAGCAAGGACACTGCTTTAGCAATGTTTCCTGCGAAAATACCCTGCACACCTTAGAGAGAACATATTGTATGATCCACTACTTGCGCCCCACTTTGTCTCCAATACAGAACATATAACCACAGAACCAAGTCTGACTACTGTGACAAAATTCTCCCCCGCTGCCCCCCCCACTCTTTACCTAGCACAACACAAAGGACAGACATCTGTACTGTGCTTACCTTTCTGGAAACTAGCTGAATCGCATCCTCTTCAAATGCCTTCATGCTGTTCAGTCTGGATGAAATAATTTGCTGTAACTGTTTGTAGGTGTAGGGCTGAAAGGACATTCTGGTGAGGCCCTATAGTAAATAATACAATAGAGTGAGAAGCGTTTGTAGTGCTTGAAAACTCTAAACTGCTCTAGCGGTTAGTTAGTTTTATTTTCTCTGGTAGGAGCAATCAGTCTTTCACATCCTCCCCCTCTAAGTGACATGCTTTAATCAAATCTTCCACTTCACATTTGTGAAAAAAAAACGTGCAAATCCACAAAATTGTTGACTAAGTGAGGACCACTGGTTGGACCTTCCCACTGAAAGGCCTGAGGAGCAAGCAATGCTGATACTGTAATTCAAATTTCTCTAAAAAAAACTTGTAAACAAATCAGAGCCACCTAGTACAAAAATCTTTTGATTGCAACTGTTTACACTTTATTTTTTAATACAGTAACAGCAGAAGCTATTAAAAAATATTCATGTCTCCTTTAGCAAGTCTGTATACATGTAGACAGTCATACTATTGACTTCACATTAGCAACCAACCAAAAATTAAATTCTCTTCTGGCTCAAGCTAATAAAAACTGCTTTCAGATGAGAAGGACAATCTACGTTATAGATGGTGCACTGCCTTTCATATTCTGCAGGAGGCCCGAGTTTTCCATTTCTTATGCAAAATTATCCTCTCTTGTGACTATATGGAGTCAGCCGATCTGCAGGTTTAGCGGGTGGGGGAAGGCAATTCACACACTGCGGAACTATTTTTGAGTCTCAGAATGATGGAGGCACAGAGCACTGATTTTGCAAATCCCTTTTCAGAGCAGCGATGAAGTGATGACCTCGGAAAATGTATTCAGCACAGCTGTAGAGTGCATCCAACTTTCTTTGTTGGATACCTTTGGACAGAAAATCTACCAGCTGATGATGGCAAACAGAGATAAGTAACCAGGTGCCTGGAATGAAAGGGGGAAGAGGAAGGGAAACCAGAAGAGAATTCCTCTGAACTCTAGAGTAAGCAGCTTAACCATTAAGCACAGCATTTGATTATCCAAATCTTAATATGTTTAAAAAGACATCTGCATTCTTAATTCATTCTTACAAGAACACAGTGTACTTACATGGCATAACATCTGATTAGCAAGCTGGCTCCTAAACTTACTTTGCTAAGATTTGTGTGTTCATCATCTGCCCTCTGGAGAGGAAAGGGAATTATAAAAGCATTGTTTAACCTTTGATGTAACCAATCCTACCTTTCTCCTGGATTACTTTTGACTGCATACAGTATTTAATCTGTTCTCATTTTCTAGCATAGCAACAAAACTGCTAGGACGTACCAGTCTGCTAGCTACTCTGTTCATCATTATTCTCTCTGGCAAGTCCATGGTGTTAGCAATGGCCAAGATGATTAACTTGGAGTGCTTTTGAGTTGGCCAGTCAAATAAATTGTACATCACATTCTGTTTCCGGGTCCACAGAAGATCAAGCTGCAGGCACAGAGAGAGAAGAATTAGACTGGAAAAGAATGGCCTTGTATTTACAATACCTGACGGGGGTCTGAGGGAGCTAGCGCTGCCACGGAAGACTTCTTACACAATTCTGAACGAGCTGTCTCTGTTGTGTTTCCTTTATCCATCTACTAATAGGACTGCATTTTCTGAATTAGGGCTCTAATCTCTTTTGGAAAAGCACAGTCCTACTAGATGTTTGAACAGTATTAATCACAGTAGAGTGATTAAACAGCTGGAGTTTTTAAATACTACTGTGATATTAATACTACATCTAACAAGATTAAAAGACCCTCCATGTGAGAACCTGAATTAGCTTACAGCAAAAAATAAGTGTGCATTTGTTTATTGCCAAACATAGCACATTCAAGGAGTTTCAAAACTGGCTATGACTTATTACGCTGTAAGTTTTCTCACTGGAAAAGCAGCAGCTTCCAGACAAAATACAGTTGAGTTCTATGGTATTTAGGACTTGATAGAACAACTCACTCCATGACTTGGACCAAAACAAAACATAAAACCAGTGTGAAATCCAAGGCAGAGAACAATACGGCGACAGGATACTTGCCCATTTAAATTCAGTTTCCTACTAAGGCTAAGAGGAACTATTTGTGTCTTCTCTCCTAAGTCTATTCCTTTTAGATCCCATATGATATACTCTAAGCATGTCTTTTTCCATCCTCCAAAACCTCATTTCTTATGATACTTTAAGGAAAGAATGAAGGATTCTTTGTCTCACCTCATCCACTATCAGCACTGTGGTCTTCCTCTTTGGTCCAGGTGTATTGAACAGTTTTGCCAACAGTGCTGCAGCATGGGTTGCTGTCACCTTCTGACCTGTCAGTAACTGGACAAGGATTAAACAATGGTGCAGGTTAATCACACCAAACCCCTGGAAATAGGAAGTTTAACTCCTATTCAGTTTTAACTTTTCTCTAACACTCAACACCAAGCATCTGGATTTTTTTTATGGGGGTGGAGAAGGGGAAAGTAAAAAAAAAAAAAAAAAAAGTAGCTCATAAGACACTCAGGTCTACCAGAAACTGTCCATAAAGGAGAATGGAAACAAGAGAATACATAGCTAAAAACAAAGGCCATTAGAATTTCCTGCAATTTGTCTTAAATACAGATTCATTAAGAAATCCTGAACGCAGTCTCAAGAGGACTCTAAACCTAGCATACCCTCAAGGGTGTCTCTGAATGCAAAATACCTAGTGAAAACCTAAGTCAGTTGACAAGAATGGCCTGACTTCAGTAATCTTGGACTCTCATTAAAATATTAATGAATCATCAGCAGGACCTAGAACTAAATAGTTTATTCAACTCTAAGCTAAAAATATACCTTCAACAAGAACTGCTTCTGCAATATATATGGCAAAACAGATGAGCTGACTGTACGTTACCTCTTCCCTTGCAGGTCCAAAGATATACAGAAATTAAAGCATGACATTTCAAAATGACACTATATATGCTGCATCAATTGTGCAACATAGTTCAGAGTCAAGCGGTAAAGTAAAATGGAGATTGCATTTGAAAATTATATTTGTTCTCCAGAATCCCTTAAAAAATTACCTGAGATTTCATAATTATTAAACAAGCCAGAGCATGACAATAATGTATAATCTATATTTGTTTCATGTTTCCTATTCCGTCAGGACAATCTGAATCAATCATATAAAGCAGTTGGATCCCAGAGGATCCTGATTCTACAGCTCTGGAACTGGGCATCCAATACACCACAGAGTTCAATTTGTTGTGGCAGAACTGGCACACTGAAATACACCCAGGTATTTAACCTTATCTCCTTCATCTGTCCAGGCCTTCTTGTCCCTGTTCCTTCTCTATAAACTCTCCTATGACAGTGAGGTAACTGCAGTAGTGAACACTCCAGAATTTGCTTCAGTGATGCAAAGAAACATCAGCAAACTGGATCTTGAGATTGACCCGCAGCAAGAGATGCAGCAATCAGAAAAGCAGCAGTGGCCTAGCTAGGGTACTTGGGTAACAGCTGAGGCAGAAGGAACCAGAGAAATAAGTGGTTTATTTGACTATGTGCTCCCCTGGAGGATATTTAACTGGGCTAGCTTAAAGGGTTCAGGGCCCATGGGGGGCAACAAATTTTACTTCCAAAGGCCTATTCTTTATTGATTTAAATTATTTTTTTTTTTAAAAGATGTATGCTGAACGGGATAGCAACAAAGAGTGTTAAAATACCTTAACATTACCATGAGATAAGGTAAGTGTCATGAAGCATTTCACTATGCTAAAGAAACAGTGACCTGGCTACAACAAATCCCTCAGCAAGACACTGTCTATGCTGGTTTGAGGAAAGGATGCAAATATGTAAATTTAACTCCCAACTATGAGGATAGGGATATTAGATCAATGTATTCCACTTACTGCTCAGATAGAAGATGTCAAACAAATAAATGGGGCAGAAGTTTATAAGAAAAGGGACTAGATGCTTCAGGAAACCATCGTTTCATTTCCAGGTCACTGGCTTAAAGTTCGCCTAGACTGACAAAGGTCTTGAGCAGTTACTACCTAATGCCTATTGGGTGATCTTAATCCAGTCCTCAGAAGGTTAATTCACGCCCATATAAACACAAGCACAGTCAGTAGTCCAAGATGAGATGCTGCAGACCAGTTTGCCATGGAAATCTGAAACACAGTCTTGTTGACAGGGATAGTCCCTCTTTAGCTGGATTGCTATGATGACAGAACAATTAACCATTAAGAACCTCTTAGTCATCATTCCACTGACATACTGACTTCCAGAGTTCTCACCTCTGTAACTTTTTAAACATACATGTGCAGAAAAAGTTATAGAAGGGGAAAATATAAAAAGAATGTGGTTTAGATTTTTTTAAACCTGAGTGGATGTAATAAATTAGGCTATTTCCCAGCCACTGCCCTTATGCAGCTGAAAGCAAAATAGTTCAAGAAGTTGGCCATGCCCTTAAGTTAATTATTTTTTAACCTGCTCTAAGATAGAAGCATACTGTCGCTCAGAGGGACTACTTAGAAGTATCGATATATTAAGTGACTTGAATCCTGTAATACATCAAGGATCTGATGGCAAAGCATAAGATTTCTTCTTCTTTCAAACCAGAGAGCCATTGAAGAAGCTTTACTTACCTCTAGTATCTGCACGTAAGCTTGGTGAGGGTCAGTCAGCTTCATGCCATTAATCTCTACAAACTGGAATGATGGTAGGTCATCATTTTCTGCAGCTTCCTGAAGACAGCGAATTACTTCGTGAACAGTTGCAGTTTTACCTGTTCCAGGCACTCCAGAAATATACATGCACCTACAAAAGGAGAAAACCTTTTCAGCAGCCTGAGCAAAATGGTAACACTCTTAGGATTTATGAGCTGGAATTCCTGGGCTCTGAGACCAGCCTCGAATCCTACTCCTCTATCACTTCAGGCAATTCCTTATATTTCAGTTACTTCATTTGCAAACTGGGACACATAACACATTGGAGGATCATGAAGATTTTTGTTATTACTGAAGCAATTAACAACCTAAAATACTTCATAAATATAAGTTACCTCTTTTTTTAAAAAAGAAAAAAAAAAAAGGTTTCCCAGACATCTAAAATTGACTAGTTATTTCGGTCTTTAATTTGAATCTGTACAGTAAAGGAGCCCACATTATTTCTATGCACAACCCTTCTTAAGGAAGAAAAATACCAGGAAAATTCAACTAGGAACTTTAATCAGCCAAATGATGACAACTTTTTTAAATAAAAGTAGTGTTGATTGTCTGACTGCTGTTATGCCATAGGTAGATGTGATCTCAGTTACAGTCTCACCAACAAACTCACCCTCCTGTACCATCAATAAGTTTGCTTTCCACAAAGTTATAGATATCCTGGAATTCTTCCTCACGACAAGGCAGAGATTCTGGGATAGCAGAAACATGCAGCCTTTTGATTAAAAAAGAAAAGAAAAAGAAAATTGAAATAGGAGGTCTAAGTTGCATTTTCACAGTTTTGCCTGAAGAGCCTACAGACACACCACCTTTCACAGTTGTGTGCAGTTTTTAAAAACTCTTACATACTTTAAGCCTGAACACCAATGTCAAGCATCGCAAAAGAAATAGCCTAGTGTGATTTTAAGTTTTAAGAGGGCTGAACAATCTTCTTCGTAAACAAACAGCACGAACATACAGCAATAAAGATCTAGCTGTTGCAATTCACAAAAAAAATGGTAAGTCAGTGTAGAGGTAGGATAAAACAGGGAAGACCGCTTATAGGAAACTGAAAAAACTAAAACTCAGTTTGAAAGATACATTCAATCCTGAATGCATTTTTTTTTCCACTGTGAAAATCTGCAATGATGCAATATAAAGCTTTTTCACACACCAAGAGGAGACAAATACTGTACCTTGACTATCTAAAGCTAATAAGAGAGGATCTTTGTTTTTCTAATGTTGCACAGAATAAAGACAGATATCTAGTTCTGAAGAATTTAGCATGGACTGGTTACAATAATTTGAAACTGTGAAAGTACTACTAGTATTTGTAAATCCAGTATTGTACTGTAAATTCATAAACGCTCTTGTGGTATCAAAACATTGTGCATTTTTACCAAATTTATTCAATATGGTAAAGATATTTCCCTATTTCAGCATAACCTACTGCTCTGCATACCTGATACAGAAAGATGATTTCCTCCCTTGATCACACATTACCTTAATCTGGCTTCTTCTAGTATACTGGCTGGTTTCTGTGCTTCATGGTTGCGCCTAGGAATTTCAGGAGTTGCGTTCCGGGGTGTCTTTGGTGTTCCTGGTAAAGGCTGCAGAGAAAAGTTACAACCTCCAGCAGATTTTCTACATACGGCAATTTCTGTTGGAGACCGATCATTCCTACAAGTTTCCCAAACATCACTTATGCACAAAGACTACCCAGGGATACCAGAGTACAAGATGAAAAGGGAAACAGTCTTTACAAAGAGAATTACCAAACAAGCCTCATGGTCTTTTTTCTTCCTAAGGGAAAAAAGAAACTAGAAAGGGGGTGGTGACAAAGACAATTGCACCTTTTAACTGTCTGAAGAATTTTTAAATTAATGCTTTTCTGAAGTGCTGCGTTACAAAGTGATTTGGTTCTTAAGAAACAGCAAGCAACTAGAAATTGATCTATCTCAATTTCATTGTCCAAACAAAAAAAGCCATATGATATCTTAATTATTCTTCTTTGTTGTGCTTACAAGTTCTAGTTATGCTAGGTTTTCTGTGTCAGACATTTCATAAACACAGAGTAAAAATTAGCCATTGACAGTATGTACCTGGCTATGGTGCTGAACACAGTCTTAATGAGTGAGGCCTAAGATTCATGTAGCCTGGTATCCCATCTCCATCAGCGGCCATGACGCTATGAGAAACTGCTGGCCACACTCTGGCGTGGCCACGAACGCTGTAGAGCATCCCTTTTGTGTTGGTAACCATCTGCACATTGGTAAGCTTTCAAGAACCAGGATAGCTCTACCGCCAAGCACAAAGTTGGTCTTATGGCTTTCTGCTATACATAAAGACTAGACAGAAATAGAACTAAAATGCCTCAGTGCGCAGCTTACAATAAAAGTAAAAATGGTGGCCATAAAAGGATTAATCAGTTTGTTCGGCTCCAGTCCAATCCAACGTTTTCCCTGTCTAGGCTAGAGCTTTCTGATCAACGTTGTCACAACATTCACAATATGCAAGTCTTTTATACATTTGCATAACCTACTCATATCAAAGATCATATGAATCAAGATAATGTTTCATTAAAAGCTAAGGGGTTCAGATACTTAACTTCGGTACACAGGCATCAAGCATTCAAATAATTGGCTCAGAAATAATAAAAATAGCTCTTTTATATGGAACCTTACAGTTTTCTTCAGGGTCTTAGCAGGAGTGTGAACTGAAGACTTCCTTGAAGATTTTGGGGTGCTGAATATTCTGCTTGATTTAGTTTTCTTTTCTGGGGTACAGAACACATCATCCTTCTCTTCCTCCTCACTACTTGAAGAGTAAGAGCTGTCTGAGCTAGAGAGGAAATCCTCTTCCTGGTTTGACTCTAGTGTATTTAATATGCTGTGAGAAACAGAAATGACATGAGTTTTAAAAAAATACATACAACTCCACACACTACGAAGTATCACTTGTACATTTTCAGCTTTTTCTGTAGTTATCATAATCAGCAAGCCAAGATATTTTTTTACCTGAGCTGTTAATTTTCCATGGCTATTTAATAGGCTGGTTTAAAAGGAAGTCAGTTTTCTGATGAACACCATGAGTCGGCTTTATGTTTCTGAACGTGAGACAGTTTTCACTCACACTGCAATTAAGCTGTGCTTCTAGAACCATTTGCATTTCAATATCAAGCTAGCCAAACTCTCAAGGCTTCAAGCTATCAATAGCAATCTGAATAAGATATCATAGACGTAAAAGTTTACCTGATTTGCTCTGCAATGCGAGCGCTTGTTTTCTGTGCGCATGTTCTACGGGAGCGAGGGGTCAATACAAGGCTCTGACTATGCAGTTCCTGATGTCCAATTAAACTGTAAAGAAAAAACACAAAGCTATTTGTATTTCCTCTTTGCATCACACTTGTAAAGATGGAGAGAATGCCTTTCAAACTTCAGACTCAATTGTTATAGCTGTCAATCCAGCATGAATTCTTGTTTACAGTTATCTACAGATTGGCTATGGCATGGATACTGGCAGCACCATTTCCCCTCTCTCGCACTCTCTCATCAATATATCTTTGCCAAAAAAACCCAAACCAAACCAAAATCCACAGAATATTTACTATAGTACATTCATGGTCTGTACTGTAAAGATTTTTACAGTAAAGTGTGTTTCTATAAATCTTTGTGAACCAGCTGAGGAAAGCTGCTAAGTCTAAAGAGAGAGACCCTACGTCCGTACAAGTCGGAGTTGCTAGCTGACCTTTGATGCTGTGACAATAGAGACTGCATTAGCATTAGTTCAAAACAGACATCTCCGACTTGGGCCCTATCAACATTATACCACTTTGTTTCCTGATGCACCCTCAGCTGGCAACAGCTACTTATTTCACATTGACTGACAGCTGCTGCACATTAACAGCTTTCCCTCACTTTCCCAGTTAGACACACGTGTCAGTGAAAAGCACTGAATAGATGCTGGTACAGTTTAATTAGCAGCCAAATTATTTTACAAGTATAATACTGCCAAACTGAAGGGACAGGCTCAAAACAGTGGTGTTTTTTTGTTTGGTTGTGGGTTTTTGTTGTTGTTGTTTGGGTTTCTGGGTTTGGTGGGTTTTTCTGGTTTTTTTTTTTTTGTTTGAGTTTTTTGTTTTGGGTTTTTTTTTAAGAGAAAGAAAACAAATATGATTTTCTTTGGCCATCTCTGTAATGTGCCCTTTAGAGTAGATTTTTCTATTTGTGTTTTGAGATTCCTTTGTTCTCTTCTTGGACACTTCTTCATCGCTATCACTGAAACACTTTACTGGTAATACAACTTTCCTATTAGTTCAAAGGACACAATGAGATTAATTAATTATTTGTAGACAGGTCTCAGAATTTTTTTTTTTTAGATCTATAAATACCACTGAAATGCCATTACCTTATCAATGAAAAGTAATTTTTTTTTTTTTTGCTATACAGTAAGTGACAAAGATGGGGTGCAGATCCACCAAGTGTTGCACCCATATCTTTACTCTTTGAAAGGAGGAAGAGAGGAACGTGACTGGGTTTTGGCCTCTTGCAACATTTTATACAAGAAAGTCTGATCCATTCTCCTCCTGCCCCAGCTTAATGCTATTTTTAAAGGCTGTGTGAAGATACAATTAAACAATTACGCTTTTTGAGTTTTGATTTCTTTTCTACATAAAAATTAGCATGAAAGTATACATACAATTATCATGAGAATTCTCATGAGGCCAATCGCATCCCTTTCTATAGTTCAGCATATCTCAATAGCTGTCACAAGTAGGGCACATTCGAGCCTGTATGACATACGTACAGTGACTGCAGGGAAACATTTTTATCCATGCTGATGAGTACAAATCATAACAATCAATATGGCTTCAATTCCCTTTCCTATCATCCTACCATTCCCCATTTCCAACCTCTTCTCTCTGTTCTTGTAACCATGAATGGCTTGTGTCCATCTTTATAGCCAGCTCCTCTTATCTCCCCAATCATTCATTCACCTCCAAGGAACATGCTTTCTAGAGCTTCACCACAGTGCACTTGTAACTATTTAGGCTATCCCTCCTTCTCTCAGTGATCTCAACAGGTAAAACACGGTACACAGAGAAAGTTCACCTGCTTTTCTCTCCAGAAGCTTTTCATAAATGTGCTTTAAGAGAATTATATACAAATAGAAATCCCATGCAAAAATAACTATAAAAAGGCTATCACTTACGATATAATGTCGTCTTTCATATTAAGATTTTTGGCTTTCTCACTGGAGTCTTTGACCTTACTATAGGGTGATAATCGTATTGTATCACTAAATCTCTGCCATCGGTCTGCAGTATCAAACATTGACTTTGACTTATCATTGGCGCAAGGTATTTTTGGTGGCGAGCCTAAAATGCCAGGGAATTTCACTTTTCTTTTAGTAGCTGATGGTTCTAACGGTGCTACAGCATCACAGTCATCATCCAAAAGCTCCAAAACTTCACATCCCAGGATCCTGCCTTTAGGAGATCTTGTGGGACCTAAGAATCAAGAGCAAAATGAACTTTTGTCAGGCTTTAATATGGCTGGTTTGGTTAACTTTCCGAAGACATGGTACAACTGGCTTGGTGGCTGTCATTTAATGAAAGGGGACGGCATTAAACTCCAGGAACAAGGAACTGAATACATACAGAAGACATACACTTCCTCTAAAAAGATGACTAAATAGAATACAAACTGTTGGTTGTTTTTTTTTTTCCAGTTTTCTAACCCACCTTCATCACTTACAACTTTACTCAGGCTCCAGTTTGACAATATGGCATGTTACATAGGATCAAATGTGCTTATTCAACCAGCCCAATGTAAACATTCTAGTGCACCGTCAGAAGATTAAAGAACGTGAGACATTCTGAGGTCAAGTTAGGCTGATTGATAGCATTTCAGCCAACAAGTGCTTTAACTTAGACTTACCACTTACAAATAAAACATTTGCAACAGCAATTGGATATAAGCAGTACACTTGCTTGAAATAACGGATATAAGACTGATGCACCCAAAAGGCTTGGGCTAACCCCAAAGCCTGAATAAGGTAGCTAAAAAAACTGATGTTGAATATTACCATTGTCTGAACTACCCAAAATGAAGAGGGCACAAAACATATCACATTCAGAACTACCAAATGGACAGAATATTGCCGTATACATACTGTTTAACTGTAACTTCTTCCTTGCTGCTGGAGTTTTGATGCCATTAGCCACTCTCTGTGAATGTCTCTCCTTAGCAAGGGAGGACTTGGAAGCAGAATGTTTCGATTCTATTTCCAACTCAACATTTTTGGGTTTTGTGGTACTCCGAACAACTCTCTCTGTCTCCTTTTTCAGGGGGGAAATGATATCCAAAGGAAAAAATGAGTTTGAAGATTTTGGGATGCCACCTCCTTTCTTATTAGCTTCTTTCAGCTTAGAGAATATGTCAGGGGACAAAGCCTTAAAGCATTTCCCATCCCAAGACTGTTTTACATAGAAAGTTTGTTCCTTGTTTAATGGAATAGGTAGTTCCTCCCCCAGATGCAGTGGTATTACCTGTAAAAACAGAAAATACCAAAACAGGCATACCTTAACATTTACTGTTCATTTAACATTCAACTATTTTATATTCACAGATCTTATTATTGGAACTCATGCAGTCCTTCATTATATAGGGCAACACCTTCAACCTACATTTACACTAGCATAAGTTTATTGCACTACAGGACTCTGATCACATTACTTCCTTCCATGCAAACCTCTAAATGAGCTGGCTGCCAACAACCAAAGTCATTTTGGGATGGAAGAAAGACAGAATATCAACAGTTTTCAACTATCCTATCCTATATTAACTGCATTAACAAATACATATTGCACATTTGGTTTGGGAGGGAATAAAGTAGCTGCCCTGTTCTGTTATGCTGTTTGAATTGTTTCTTTCTTCCCTCTGTGTGTAGAGGGGCTGCAGTACATACCATGACACTTTTAATAATGGTCTCCACGGCTATATCAGTGTCATAGCCAGGAACTTGATCAAAAAACACCTCCTGAGGAGAAACCTCTCTTTTAAGCAGTTTCCGTTTATTCTGAGGTATCTCTGTAATATGAGAGAACCACTGCACGACTGCATGTTTCTGCTGAATGCCTGTAACAATGAAAAAAAAAAAAAAAAAAAAGTCAGCGAACATTAAGAATTTTATTGTATTGCAGATAGTTATCATCAGACTTCCATGACTTTAGCTGAAATGCCACCAAGGATAGAAATCCTCCTTGGACATGGGTGAGAAAGCATCTAATAAGAGATTACAATTCCCATTTTCTAAGCTAAATTAAAATGTTTGAGTTGAGACTTCTAAAGACTAAAATACCACCTACATAGGGTCTCAATCAGAAGATACCTGCAGACCAGCTGATCCACCAGTTCACTACCACAAATGAAGATGTTCCCTATTTGCATAAACATGACCTAATCGGACCCCACTAACTGAAAAGAGTGACATAAAAGGAGAAGTGAGAAATTTCGGAACAGTATTTGTAATTTCAATGTTATTTTAGAGGTAAACCAGAAACACATTTATTAACTGCCTAACAAACCAGAGAATCCTGTTGTTGAAATGTCTAGAAGAAAGTCTGAATAAACACTATGAACAGATTCAATGTAGAGAGTTAAAAGAAACACCTGGAACATATAACAGTTGAATATTAAGTTCCTCTCTACATTTTAAGGTTTTCATCTTTGAATGAAAAACAAAGCCACATATCTGTAACAAATTTGTCAAAGATATAACACAACAGGAAAGTCTTGTTTTCAAGGAAGTTTCACAGGTTTCATTCCAGCATGAAAAGAATATTCAGTTACATTACAATAAATCTGCATTAGTAAATAAATAAGCTGGAGTGATATGTATTTATGTGTTAAAAAAGTAAAGAATTAAAAAAACCCTCAAAATATTATTATGATGGCCCAAAACAAACAACAAAAACTGTTTGAAGGAATTAGACATAGCTAATGAGTAGTTTCTAATTCAGACTCAGACATAGTCTTTGTATCACTCACCTTCCATGATTTGTTGTTTAATATCTACCTTTATCTATAAACAAGGAGTTCTACAAGGGACAGAAGTAACGAGCCCCATTTATTCAGCCTTGTACCTTATTGCTAAATTCCCCAATGTCTAATAAGATGCAAGTTCCAGGGCTGCAGTGCTCTTGCTCCATTTGGATTCTCCAATCTCTAAATAAAGCATGAGCTCACACTGTCTTCCTCAGGGACCATTTCTTTTAAATTAGACAACTAAGCAAAAAGGTTGTAAAAATTTCATATCTTTAAGCTCTCTGTTTATCTATCAAATTTAGTTGAAATTAGTCATCAGCCCCAACTATTTGGGGAGCATGTGACTACAGATGCAGTGATCACCAAAGCCTAATTTCCTTAATAAATCAGGCCAGTGATAAAGGGTTATGGGCTAAATACATCCCCCTGAAATAGGTATCTTTAAAACATTTTAAGATTTCTCAGATAGGAGGTAAAATTTTATTTCTCTTACCATCTTCATATAAATCCAGGAGTTGTGCCACAAAAGGTTGATCTGCATTCTCCCCTTCTACTAAAATAAACTCGCCAAGTTGTATACAGGTTTCTGTTTTGCTTCTTTCTGATTTAATAATGATTCCCCTAGAAAGTGATGCACATGTGCAGATTAGCAGGATTTCACATTCTTTATAATTCACATATCATTAAAGCTGACAGCCTGTCAATCTTCTAGCTAGTTACGCTCCCTCTTACAAAGCCTACAACTGAGTTTCCTAATTAAAAGCTTCCATATATATTTCAAACAGTTAACACTTATTCACAGATTTAATTAAATATTTTTGTTTATACACTATGCAATTTATAATTCAAGAGCTTTGTGACAACATTTTTGTTATACACATACAGTGTCATGACACAGTGCTCAAAACCTTACTCATATTCTCACTGACTGCCACGTTAACCTCACCGATGTCAGAAAGGTAAAGAAACATTCATTGATTAAGTTGCCCTGAGCAAGCCAGAAATAACTGTTATTTACTTGTACTGGAAAGTCCTCAGTTTTCTGTCTGAGCTCATGGGTTTTCCATACCAGGAGTAGATAATTTTGCTTTGCTGCCGGGTGTTCATGATTCCCAAGGAAAAGCTAAAACAAACAATTATTTGTATCATTATTTAAAAACAAAAGCAGGGAAAGACTCAAGATGGCCAGATACATAGAAATGCCATCAATTCTTTCAGTGTGTATGAAGAACGTGGCATGCATCGGGTGATTCAGAGAAGCCTACCTTCACCGAAGCCTCCCGACGCCGCTCCTTTGAGGGAGGAGGAAAAAAGGAAGGTGTTTAGTAGTGCGTTGTTCTTCAGTTCCTTTTCTCACGTCCAGCGCTTGACTGGCACACCTAACAAACACGCGATTCCCTTGTTACTGGCTACTTTGCTTACTCACAGAACAAGTTATCAGATAGATGTCTTCTGTGTTTTGTGAATTACCGAGACTCTCTGTAATTAATGAGTTACCACGCCCTCCCGCTCCCTCGGGCTGCCCCTGGGGCCAGCGCGGCCCCGGGCTCCGGGGGCTCGCCGCCCGCCCGCCGCGATGGCCACTTCAAGACGACGGCTTGCAGTTTTTCGTCCAGACCTCACAGCGACCAGGCGGGTGAGACCATCACGAACGCTTTGCTTACGCTCAGTTTTTATGTGTGTTTTTGTTTGTTGTTGTTTTTTTTTTTTTCCCCCTAAATAAGGACTTTCCCTCTGGAAAACGCCACACACACCAGCCCCCCCCG